ACAAAAGAACTCAACTCTTTCACTCTTAAAAGAGTGTATGCACCAACAGACCTCTCAAGCAAAAGATTCAAACAAACAAATTGATCACAGGATCGCTTTCATGAATCCTGCCTAAAGAATGAAGCTTCTAGATCCACTTAACTCACTCAATTTTTGTCTCGCCCAAAAAGAATTAGAAATGTATGAATGAACATGTTCCCTAATCAACCAAATTATTACAGTAATTAGACAAGGCCTCAAAAGGAGGAATCCTCCTTCTTGGCCTTGTACCGGTAGAGAACTCTCTTCTTCTTGCTGGATGCATTTCCAATTGTGAGAACTTTCTTTTTTTAAGAATTTAAAATCTTTCAAAATATAACAAAATACAAAATTATCTTAGAATTAAATGTAAAACTCTGAGTTTACATAAAAATTTATAATGCCTAAAAAATCACTATTTGCAGGGATGTATTCCTTCAAAAAAACACTATGAAAACTTTTGATTGCCAAAAGTTATATTTGATTTTTAGACATGTCTTCTCAAGTTTTAATTTAATATTTAATTTAATAAAATAAAATAAAAAATTCAAAAATAATAAAAAATTAATGATATTCTAGTAGTCAAACCTAAGTCCTTATCTTTTAACTATATATAAAGGGATAAGACTTAATTTATTTTGAGTTTCATTTCACTTAATTATTTGTTGATAAAAAATAAGTATTTATAAACTCTTTTAAGTTCTTATACCTTTTGTACGTGAGATTTTAAACGTTTACAAACTATTCAACACTTATTCTTGCATAAGATCTGTCCTTCTCTACAGCCCCATAATTCAGCTAAGAAAAAGGAAACTAAACCAATGTTTACCGAATAACACTAGATAAAAACACCTGACTGGTCTTGCAACACCCTTCCTGCACTTGCAAATCTAGTCTCTTGTATTCGGACAACTGTCTTTGATTCTCGTCCGCCTGGCCTGCATGCCTTTTTAGAAAGGGACATGTTAGGTGCTGCCTTTTTGCGACATTGATTAGTTAATTTTTTCTTCATATGTAACAAAAAAGAAGATATAACAATAATATCATCCACTCAATATTCCCTCAACAATGCACAAAATACTATTTTCACTTGAACCTTTAAGTCAAGTGACGTCAGGTTACGTATAAATGTATTTCTTTATTCTCAAAGCAATGATTCAATCCAATCCCATATGAATTTGTTCAAAATAAAAAAAAAATACACAAAATACTATTTACATGTTTGCTGCATTGAAGGCTATACTATTCCATTTATTACAGCCAACCACTTACTCCAACCAGGTTTTAATGTCGAACATTAATACGTAAAAAGACGTAAACCAAACACATTAATTAAGGAGTTGCAATGCAAAAAGCCACCTACCTCTAACAATCCGTACCAATTAATTAATAACTATTGCTCAGCTGATATTGCTGCGTGTGAAGTGTCATCACAAGAACAAATCAAAAGGTTAAGTAATTTGCATTTCAATAATTATTTTTGGATAAACTGTAAATTTTAGTTATCCAGAGACTAAATATACATCAAAGCAGCAAAACTAGCTACTAAATGGGAAACACACTG